ATACAAAATATTAATTTCGGTCAAAATCTCCTCTTTGGTTGTTTCTACTGCTGCACACATTGCATTTGAAAAAAGGCTGGCAGGTACATCGGAAATGACTGAAGTAGCGGGAATTGTGTCCACCCTTAAGATTTGTACTTTCGGGCTTAATGAGGGAATTTCTATGGTAGGAATGTTTATGTTAGTAGGGGGAGTGGGAATCGACGAAGCTTTAGAAGAAGAAGCCTTAGAAACAAAAGCTGCATTAATAGCTTTAAGGTATGTCCGGTTTTCGGTGCAGTGTTGGGATACCGCCATTAAAGAAAGAGAGTCGTTGGACTCATCGCCGCTAGCCACTTCCGAGTGTGTCACTTCAACCTTTGACAGAGTCGCAGGTTCAACTGACACACGCTTGTGTTTGGTACTTCGCGAACGAGCACGGGTCTCCCGTCGAAGCTCTCTATACTTATCTGGCGGTAACCACACACCTGCACCCTTCTTCCGGTGTTCACGGTTCCCCGACTTTCGACGAAGTGAAAGTGAAAGGTGTTTCACATTCTTATCGTCGACTTTCGAGGAACCTGCGATGTTTGGAAGCGCCGTAGCTTGCTGCACATTAGATTCAACGTTTGGATCCATCGGCTGCTCATTAGGCTGCACGTTTGGATCCAGAGCCTTCTCAACAGTCGACATGTTCAACAGGTTTATGTCAAAACTGTTTAACAGAAAGGATTCCTGGCTGGCGAAACCCGGAGCAGTTAAATCAATTTGACTAAAACCGTCTTGAGACATCTTGATAAGAAAAGAAAATTAATTAATTTTATTTTAATAAAAAAAACATGTATACTTACATCGCTTGATGAAAAATACAGTTGCACGTTAAAATCTAACTGCAGAGGGTGCTTGTCAACAAAGTGCTGAATGATAGGATATGAATGATAAAACGTTCGAAAAAATAAAGTTATGCTTACCAATAAAAGTTAACTTGAAAAAATAGAAGGAGCTATAGGAATGAAAAACACAAGATTAAAAACAATATATGCCAAGAAAGGAGACTATACTTACCAGAAAAAAGTTGCTGAAATTACGATGTTAAAAACTGATCGGTCTAATCGAACTGATCAGCAGTAAGCTCCTGTAGGAATTGGGAAAAAAATATCAATTTAACATAACAAACAAATAAACAAGTTGTACTCACAAAAACAAAGTAGAACGAGCTGTCATGATGAAATAAAGCAAGAATATATTATATAAACATGGAAGTAGAAAAGGTTACTTACCAAATAAAACACAGCAAAAAAAGAGAAAGCTGAAAGAGCAAGGATGTCTAGGAGTGGAAAAAAACAATTTTAAATATTATATAAACATGCAAAACAAATATAGTTTTACTCACCAAAAAAGAGAAAGTTGTAGAAAGAGCTGTAGTGATGGAGAGAAAATGAACGCTATATAAACTTGATAATAAAGAAGGTTGTACTTACCAAAAAACTGAAGAACACAAACACTTAAGTGACTTTCAAAGGCTGGGAGGTGCCTTCTAGTAGAGTAATGAAGGGGGGCGTGGCAAGGGGGAGGAGTGGGGAATGGGCGGAGTCAGAGTTGGGGTACTTTTTTGGCTCAACTTTCCTGGCAACTGGGGGGGGGGGGAATTTTAGATTTCCCCCACTCCCATCCCCACTCTTCCATCTCCACCTTGGGAGGAGCCTGAGGAGGAGCGTGGGAGGAGCTTAGGAGGAGCTTCAATACACAATCCTTTTCCCTTTTTCTTTTCTCTTTTTTTTTTTTTTTTTCCCTTTTTTCTTCCTTTTTTCTTCCTTTTCCAATTTAATACTTTTTCAATTTACAACCCAAGTCATACCAACCCGATGTATACATACCATGTATTCATTTAGATTAACTATTTTTTCTTTTAAATTAAAACAACTTTTTACACTTTTTACAATCTTTTATTATTATTA